GAAATTCTTCCGAATTTACGGCCCAGCAGGGCAAGTAGATCAAGTACATCAAGTATATGACGTACTCGATCTAGTATGGATTTGGTCATATCTGCCCTCTCTGAACCCCATATTACCACCACTCCGGCAATTCAAAGTTTTTGCCCAGCCAATGCAATTTGGGCCAGCGAGCGTTTTTCGCTCGAACGGACCAGCCTGATATTTGTGTTCAGGGGGTCGCAATCTCGTGCATGAACCGAAATTTCTTCGGGCTAAAACTTCGAAGTTGTCGGGATGGGTTAATATGTTCAGAGAAGGGCTAGATATGACGCATATCGATACGCCCTATTCAGGCAATCCTAACCAAAAAGTTCGTGCGGTTTTTTTGTTTACTTTTATGAAGTATATTCAGTAAACTGGATCTAGTGGTAGGGTAACTTTGAATACATGTTAAGACATATGTCAAGGAGTGTCATTCAGTGTATTTGTTAATTTAGATTACTTTCAATTAAGGCGAACAGAAAAAAGTTGTGGTTTTCCACCAGGACAATGCTAGACCACGCACTGCAAGAATCACTCAGGAAACAATAGCGCGACTAGGATGGGAAATTCTACCTCACCCTCCGTACTCGCCAGACCTTGCTCCAAGTGACTATCATCTGTTTTTGGCCTTGGACAACCACATGAGGAATCGGCGATTTGAAAATGAAGTGGCTTTGGACAACGAACTAAAACATTTCTTTGATTCCCAGAAGCAAGATTTTTACAAAAATGGAATATATGTTCTTGTGTCTAAATGGGAAAGTGTATTACTTGCTGAGGGTAATTATTTTACGGGATAAATCCAAGTTTAACCCGTTTTTTATGTTATTATTTCGCTACCTTCAAAACCGCACGAACTTTTTTGGTTGCCTAATAGATCGAGTATGTCGTATACTTGATGTACTTGATCTACTTGCCCTGCTGGGCCGTAAATTCGGAAGAATTTCGAAAATTAGAGTTGAAGCTCTTATACGGAGCGAAGCAAAAATTTTCGCGCCAACCGGATGCAAACCCGCATGCGTTTGACTTGAAAGCGAGACCATTACCACGAGGCCACGGTGGCACTGCCGAGGCATCGATCAGCAGCGCTTACGAGCCAGAACTCAAACTTTGACCACCCAGATCTCGTCTGGGAGGTCCCCGTAGCACTTTTAATCTGCATATTCGTAATCAGCATTCGAGGCTCTATCGATGTACCTAGGTCTCCATTCAAAGTTCCATGGGAAGTTCAAACCATTCCCTTGTTAGCGCCGTCAAAAGAGTAGACAGCGCAAAGGACAACCTCCAGCTCACTTTTCTAGAGACAGAGTAGGGATCTTATTCAAGCATATGACACTAAACGACAACGAGAAATAGTCTACACTTCGAGAGAGTCGGCTGCCACGTTCCCTCACTGAAATGAAGGATTCCTCGTCACGCACCACTGAGTTTACCCATAGAAATCGCGAAACGGTCAAAATTAGAGCTAACTTGGTCATAGTGTGCACTACCCCTTCCTCCCTCCTGTTCACCCCGCCTAACCACCTTAGTACTTACATAGAACGCTTCTAAACTATCCCCTCTTCAGGTCAAGTGGGGAGACTCAAAATGCGTGGTATTTGAGACGAGTGAAGAGGCCACGCTCGATGAGGATGAGGTGCAGGACGAACCTGATATCTGGTGATCATCATCGATCAGTTGTTTTTAATTCTCAATCGTTTTAATTACTCTACATTAGCATTAGAAAAGTCGCAGCAATAACGATATTTACTGCGAATCGTGTAATGTTTGACTCGATAAATATTAATAAATTTTAGAAAAACTTAATACAGCATTATGCCGCCTGAATCCCATCAATAAATAGAAATTAGATGACAATTTAGGTCACTTCTGGAGCAGTATGATCTTGCCAGTAGCCGAATAGTATGTCCGCAACGGTGATTATGACTGATAAACTGATGAAAATCGATTAGTTGTAGACATCTGAACATGGGTAGAACATTCCCTAAATGTAGTTTTACACAGACAATGACACGTAACCAAGAGAGTGATAGAATGGAAGATTAGAGGTGCCAATGAAATGTCGAAAATGCCTGTGATCGGTGGGTTCAATCTTTTACCAAATACGACGGGTTGATGGATAAGCCGCAACAGGGCTTCTCTGGACATTCACTTACTGCGCGGGTCAGGAATTTTCTCATAGCATCTGTCCGAACATCGACGAGGAAAAATAAGAGAACATGAATAGAATGAAGGAAAAGGAGTAAAATGAAGAAGGAAACACTCCGCTGATAGACTATCAGTTAGAAAGTTTCGTCGACTTGCTCATGATGGAGAATGAGCTGAATGGATTCCTTATCTAAGTCTCGTTCTTGCAGATCTTCGATTCTACAACTCTTCCAGCAGTGAGATCGGACACAGGCTTATGTTTGCAAAACTTTCCTTAAACAGCTCAGAGAAATGTATTTGGTAAATGCCATGAGGATCGAAAGCGGAAAAAAAATTCCAGGAAACGTTGGTCGTATTGGGAGAGGCAGAGCCCTCACTGCCAAGTGTGTGGTAGGCCGGGTTCACGGCGATCTCTTAACGCGGGGACGCAAACATGGAAGGAAAACAATAGGAAAAAAAACATCAGAAAACGCTAACGAGCATTCTATTAATTCCGCAGCATACCAGGAAAAACGCCAGGCGAAGGATACTGAGTATGCAAAAGAAGAAAAAAGACGATGAAATTGTCAAGAAAGTACAAGACCAAGCAAAACAGCATCACCTTACATCAATGGAGATATGAACTAGAAAAATGCCAGGCTGACCTCTGTGGGGGTGCCCAAACCTTCACGACATCCCTCTGGCAGCCTTAGGCATTGTTCACAGTCTGCTAACCTGATAAAACGGACCATGGGGAAGGATGACCAATGGCCTTACAAATCGACACGCTACCATTCTGTTAGACGAGCACATTTGATCATGATGACGCTATAGGTAACACGCGCGGTAATCAGCAGCGCAAAACGTTGTCTTGTAGTCTGAAAACGTTAAAGTAGTAAAAAGTCACGCTCCTCTGACTGCTTTTCTCGCAGGTTCGTGTGACTTAAGTAGTCACGCCGGCAGCGTTCAGACTTCGTGACGATGGCGCTTTGGTCGCGCGATTCGACGATCGATGCGCATGCTTTCGGCTGCATCGATCGCGTCGAACGCGCGACCGAAGCGCTGCCGTCGCGAACTCTGAACGCTGCCTCTGTACGAGTCGGACCTGGCTACCAAATGCACAAAGACATTTCACAGTTCACTTGATCGCAGGGATTATCTTAAAAAAGAGGCAACAGCAGAAACCTAAACTCATCCAGGTTAGGCCGCCCGCGTTCATAGCTTGCGACCGTGAAGAAATGCAGAAATGCGGAAACTGCAGAAGTGCGGAAAGTGCAGAAATGACGAAAAGCATTACATACGTATCGATTGAAGAAATGCCGAAAGTGAAGAAGTGCGGAATCTGCAGAAATGCAGAAAGTGCGGAAAATCGATACGTATCGGTTGCTTTTCGTCATTTCTGCAGATTCCGCACTTCTGCAGTTTCCGCATTTCTGCATTTCTGCAGATTCCGCACTTCTGCAGTTTCGGCATTTCTTCAAATCGATACGTATGTAATGCTTTTCGTCATTTCTGCACTTTCCGCATTTCTTCATTTCTGTATTTCTTCACAGTCGCAAGCTATGAACGCGGCCTTACCTTGTCATTGTCAATGCACCTCGCTATATTCTTCTTGAAGGACTCCCTCGTTGGGATAGACCACACCCACATATCAAAGTTCAAGCTGCTTGTTTATAAACAAATAATAATAAAATTTATGGATATAATATACATGTTTAAAACATCAACGTATGTACAACACGTACGACACGAAAGTAATATGTATGGCCCCGAGCACGATCCCGGAGTACAACACAGCGTAACGATAGGAGATTATGAACATGCGAACGTTGGGAAAACGATCGTCGAACGTTCGATAGCTTTGAGAAAAACTTTGAAACGACAGCCATCGAACGTCAACGATCATCATAGAATCTACTTCGAAATTCTTTAGTACAAACAACCCGTTCATACACACGCAGACACATACCTACTCGAAAATAGATCCATTGAAAGGTCAAACACTACCGAATCGACCATTTTTTTCATGCACATCGCATGTATTCGGCGTCTCACCACGATACGCCATTTTTACATACACATACGCGTGCGTGCGCGTAAGCTAGACAGAACACAAGGAAGAAAAAAAACGCTGAGATGTTTGCGATGTAAAAGAACGTGGAAGAAGGTAGTTGAGTGAGTATGCGATTAATGATCGATGATTTGATGATGAACAATATGGAAACGTATCAATACAGTGAGAAACAACGACAGAAATTCAACTAATGGAATGAACAAGTCACGCCCACCACGACATGGTTCTTCAATACCTTAAAGGTAGATAGAAATATAGGGGCAGCGCCAAAAAACCGTGCCGGTTCAATTGGGACCAGCCTCGTTGACAATTAAATTGTATTGTCCGCAACTGAGCACTCGACACGATTCTTTGACGATCAAAGAATTAATTTTGCATCCTCTGTTTTCACCCGTTCTATTCATGCAATAATGTAGGTTCGAAAGCAACTTTGCAGAATCGTAGACAGTGGACACAGAGGAGAGGAGCGAAAGCGATAGAAGAAATGAAGTCAGAGAGCAAATGGAAGGATGAGAGACTACCCACATAAACAATAATAATAACGAACGAACGAACGATAACAATGTCAGATATGTTTCACGTGATAGCTGAGCTTTTTTCCAGACTGTAGAGGTGGGCTAACTTTTAACAAGATCTTCTCACATGTACAATAACATACAATATTAATTATTACAACGATAATACACAAAAAACACACGCTACCCGCTGGAACGACACGTAGACGATCGAGAACGATGATTAAACTTTTACACACATACATGTTTGTTGACAACTACTGTCAAACTTCATCTTCGGCTTCGAAATCGGTATCTAACGAATCACCTTCACCACGACGAGGTTTCGCACCTGACGCACGATTCGTCAGACGGTACTCCACCTGAATAAGGAATACAATACCCTTGTATACAAGAGGACCAGTTGTAAGGAGTAGATATGTAGTACTGTATGATGTACTAGCCCCATTTAGTATAGAATTCTTATATATAAATGAAGTAAAACCAGCGCTGTTCGGCTTGGAGGGGCATTCCGCAAATTCGCTAGTTCCTTTGGTCAAAACACGTAAATAACAGTGTTTTGACTAAAGGAAAGGAATAACAGTGTAAATAATAGGTCTCACTTCGCTAAAACCTGTAAACTCCTGTGAAGCAGCAACATGGTTCGTATCACCTGCTTTTGACAGCGGAATTTACAGGTCTTCACAAGGTAGCCTGCGCAAACTCAACTGGGAGCCATACGCTACCCCACCAAACCGAATTGCGCCATAAAACATATAAAATCATTGTCCAGAATTCAAAATACCTCGTCAGCGGTTTCATCGGTTGCTAAAAGTTGCATCCCATGACCATCAGGAACATAATTTGGTTCCGAATCTGATGGATAGTCAGGATGGTTGTAGATCCATGACGCCTATAATACTCTTTCATTAAAGTTAACGATATCAGTAGTAGATCAGTAAATAAGAACTTACTAACAGAAACAACAGAAAAACGCAAAAATAAAATTAATGCTTACAAGATATCGAAGTGGTTTGAAATCTTAGTCAAAATCAAAGCTTGTGCCAAACGTTCACACTATTTCAAGAGAGAGAGCTCATTTAACGTCCATTCATACTTCATCACTTCTCTGCCTTTTCAACAAAAAATGCACATCTTTCTTACGTCCTCTGTCCAAACCCTCACGTGTACGCAAATCTACATTAGACCAGTTTACCATTCACACCCAACTCAATCAAATTCGGGCCTGGTTACCCTTCCGAGTCGCTGCTGAGGTGGCTAAAAGATACGTTGAAAATAGTGTCTACTGCGCAGTATTCTCGTTAACACCCTATTCTTCCAACGCTGTAAGGAGTATCAACAACTGGCTAGGAAACGAACCACTGCGTTTCGCGCGTAGCGATCCCTTTCTACTCGAAACGTTCTAAATAGAGGCCAACGCATTTCCCCGAGCCTACCCTCAAGCCAACATATGCGATGCACTTCAGAGAGCTACAAGTCTTGCATGAGAATAAGAAGTAGTAAGGTACCTCTCGGAACTGATCACTAGCGAATGGCATGAGATGTTCCACAATTTGACGGAATGTCGGTCGTTCTCGAGGTACATATCTCCAGCATTCTACCATCAAATCGTACCTAAACAAATGAGGATGAAGAAGATTTTCACACATAACAAATAAATAATAACCAAAACTAAGGACCAAGAAAAAGAAAAGAGAAAAGGGTCATGGATTTCCTCCAAATAAAAAATAGCAATCATCTCATATGATGCAAAAGCAGTGTTAAAATTCAGAAATTACTTCTCCAAATAACCAAGGTTTACAAAATTCAGCAAAAAAAATTTGAAGCCCGAAGGCATTTTTCCGCGCTAACGTTGTTCGAACCAGTCGCACAGCACTGCGATTATGCCTGCACCGCGAACAGTCCTCTCGCTGGGGAAAATTTCTGCGAAATACGACGACTTCTCTCACAGCAACGAACAAATACAACCCCTCCTCCTTGGTAAGACTGAGCCTTGGTGAGGGCAGGGATACAGAAGCACTGCCAGGTGGCAATTCCAACAAGGCTAGAGAAATCGTTCTGTATTCGCTGGAGAAATGACATTTTATAAGGTCGCTGTGAAAGGAGGTGGGAGAAGGGTAGTATCCGACTTGAGAAAAATTTTTCTGATAGCTGATTTTTCCCATTTCACGCGCTGGAAGAGGCTGGAAGCTGGGAGAGTCTTCCGGAGAGAATCGTAATTTTCAAGAATTTTCCATCGACATGACGTATTCTTTGATTAAATGACATGTTATAAGGATCCTACACGAAATGATATGACAGCGTTAGTAACCGTAAGTAAATAATCCTAAGAACTCACCAGAAATCTGGACAATCCATCGGCCGGTCAAGGGTCTTTCGTGAGATTCCGATGAATGAGAGCACTTCCTCATTGGCCAAGCCTTGGTATGGTTGCTGGCCCAATGTCAACATCTCATACAGCACGATACCGTAAGACCTAAATGGAAATTACGCCAGTGGACTGCATAGCATACCCATCGCAAGGAATGTTGAAAGCATACTGATACTACTCACCAAACATCGCTCTTCATGTCAAACGTGCCGTCACGTAACGATTCCGGTGCCATCCAGCGCACGGGCATCAAACGTTTACCGTTAGGTTTGTAGTATTCATGGTAGTAAATATCACGAGCCATACCAAAGTCACCGATCTTTACCGTATTGTTCGCGTGCACCTGAAACTCATCACTCTTCTCATAAAAGAAAGCATTACGAGACCTACCATGCAATTTCTTGCAGCCAGATCACGATGACAGAAACGAATCGACTCCAAATACGCCATTCCATCAGCAATTTGCGCTGCCCATTCATAGTACTCGGCTACTGTCGGTACTGGCAGATTGTCCACATTTTCTTCAGCACCAGGGCGACGAGATCGTAAATAGTCGCGAAGGTTACCCTGAAATATATAGTCTCTAAGCTAATATGTGAACACGCTTATATCCCACTTATAATTCGCGAATGCGGAGAATTCCGGTGAAATTTGTGAAAAAGAAAAGGGCTGTACGGCTTGAGAGGGGCATTTTGCACCTTTGCAGGCTTCTTTTGTTCGTTTCGGTTAGGCTGCGCATCTTATCTTGGTGAGACCTGTACACTCTTGTCAAGTGTAAACGAAGCTCCTGCTATTGCATAGCTTTACAGGAATTTACAGGTCTCTACAGGACGTATCGGCATTGATCGATAGGAGCCAACAAACTGTCCCCTCCAAGCCGAACTGCGTCAATGAAAGCATAAGTATCGACCCAAAGATTCTACGACATGGGAGAATGCAATATCTGGGATTCTGTCAACAGATTAGATGATAGGCTACTTACTCGGTTCACTAACAGCTCTCTTATTTCCCGAACCGTGTGAACTCTACATTCGCGAAGTACAAATACTGCCTAATTGACCATAACAGGGAATAAAAATATGAAAAATGTCGCGGAAAGAAACTAAAACAGGTTGTTTGGCTTAGAGGGGGGGGGGGGTGGACATTAAATTTCAGCTAGTTCCTTTCTAGCTCCTTTTGAAATACACATCTCATGTTGGAAACAACTGTAGAGTCGTATCATATGTAAGCGAAGCTCCTGCTATTGCATAACTTTGCAGGATTTTACAGGCCTACTAGGAGGCATCGGCAACGATCGATTGGAACCGACAAAATGCCCCATCAAGCCGAACTGCGCGCAAAAGTTACCTTTTCCATCATCTCCATAACCACCAGTACTGGTTGACCATCTGACACAACACCATACAACTTGACAATGAACGCTTCTGCTGAGAAGGACTTCATCACGTTGGCTTCTAGAATGGGATTGTTTCGGAGTTTCCAAATTAAATTATAAATGCCAACAAGGAGAACGCTACTAACCAAGTAAGAAATGCAATCGTTCTGCCGAATTAGCCGTCTCCGTTACTGTCTTGATCGCGCACACGCCAAATGTGTCACCACACCGTGATAGAACGCCGTTTCCATACCCACGATATACCTTAGAGGATATGTTGAGACGAAATAAATCACTTGGAATCAAACTGTTCGCGCCGAATGCTAAGGCGAGACAAGGGACTGGGTTTGGCACGGCGCCAGCAAGCTTCCCACAAATTGTTGACGCTTTCGCCTCTTCAGCAAATGGAGGAGAACGGGCTGTTGCGGCAAACCCAGCCGCCATGACAGACCCTAGCATCTGCAGAGAATAGGGTTCTATGACACATACCTTTCCAAACGTTCCTCGACCTATTTCGCATTCCAATGTGAGGTCAGACCTTTGCAGTTCCCACTCATCAGGCTTGTAAACGTCTGCCTACAAAGAGAAATACTTCATAAACTACTTGTGAGATTCATCAGAAAGACATCTGGTGCATGTTCGGCTTGGAGAGGGGCCCTTTGGCACTACAAGGTGGCACTCCTGGTAAACTCCCGTTATTTTCACTATTTTACTAAGAGTTGTTTCTAAACAAAATCTGGCATCATTCATGCTTACAACACAGATTTACGCTCATTACTTGATGCTGCGACATGAAAGAGGAAGTAGCGCAAAAGAGAAATGTTTCCCCCCCCCCCTCACACCCAAGCCGAACTGCCCCAAACATCTCTTAATGAATCAGCCCTACAAACCTGAGACAAATACTCTGGATTCGCTGAGATTAGCTGTGTAGCGTACTCCTTCACTTTTTGCGAATAGTATTTCTTTACGAAGAAGTAACCAACAATTCCAACAATTACAGCAAACAGCAGCAAGAAGAACAACGTTAGCAGAATGTTCTGGAATGATTTCAATATCAGCAGATTATTGTCAAGGTCAGTTGCAACATATCCCCTTTCGTGTGACACACGCGCAGTCATACTTTTCAACCCATAACACTACACCTGAAGCTGTGAAATACTAAAAGCATCATTAGCAAACAATCGGGGAGAAGATGTTAAGCCCGCCAATGTGGCGTGACTGAGCATGAGAGGTTGTCAGTACATCGCCAGCTAGAGACGCGCTGCCATAATGTGAGATTAGATAAAACAGACTCATTGCTTAAATAATGTCAAGCACAGTCCAGTTTTGACTCACCTTGAGAGTCCAGAATCCTGGCGTATAAATTTCAAACAGCTCTTCAGCGTAAGTCGGTTGGGAGACCCCAGCTAAGGATACCGTGCGTAACTCAACACTGAAATACATCATGAGATAAAATTGATTCACAAACATAATGTAAGCAGTAATTTTAAAAAAAACCCTTCTGTAAGGGAGGAAGCAGCCAAAGATTAGAAATATCTATCTGCTTGCAGCAAGCTATGTTTATACTTCGCGACTTGAGCTATTCAGCCGTGATATAAACTGTGAATCAGGAGACTATGACGAACCGCGCTTCACCGCTAACCGTCGGACTCACATCCGGGGGGAAAGATTAACGTGGACCAGTAGACGTGGCGATTGAATCGCTTAGTCGCGAAGTATGAACATGACTGTAGGGTTCAGAAACATCAAATAAGTAGGTTGTAAATTTTGCTTACTCTCAGTGAATATAAGACACTACAACGTTCACCAATCGATGTGAACAAATTCAAAAATAATCACCGATAATCGCCGTCATTCAAGCCTTTGAAAATAGCGCCCTTCACATTAGGAGACCAATCAGCTGACACGGGAATGCATTGATCGACAGGAGTCTGGAAATGAAGAAAATAGAGCGTTTAATAATATCACTTACTAAAAACATTCATACACGTCTTGTGAACGCGAATCATGGGGGAAAAAGATTATCCCTTAACAAGGACGCAAACCTGGGCCTTATGCTTTTCAAAACTTAACATTGCGCTGTCCCGGAGCTTCATGAGTATCTGCATGAGTATCTCGTAAATAGCATAAAAAGACTTACAAAAATTTATAAAATATAGCTGGGATTTTTGGGTTCCCAGGCCATTACTTTCTTGTGCCATAAACACCGGGGGCCCATTTCTACCACTTAGTTTTCAAGCTAATGTGATAGCCTTCACAACAGTGACCCCGCCATGTTTCTCCCTGCGGCAAAATCAGAGACCGAAAGGAAGTGTAGTCTTGAGTCCTGGCTGAGGCAAAGCGGTCACCTTCCAATCAGCTAATTCTAATAACATTGTTATTGCGAACTGCAGAGAAAAAAAGCCGTCATCATAGGCAAAACAAAATCAAAAACATTAGAAGAAACCGTAAACAATACAAACTCGTTCATAAGTCACCTCCAAAAATGAAGTCGCACTTACCGATTGTTTCGCAGTATTGATCACTTTCACTTTGTAGGCTACGACCATTCCATTAGGATCAACAGGTTTCTTCCATGTGATACGTATGTCCGACGTACCATTCAGCACTTCCACGTTGATCGTCGAATTGTCCACTCTATCGGCATCCACTGAAAGCTCGATGGATAAGAGGGAAAGTGAGGACGAAGACCGGATGACAAGCAGTATGGACCCAGAGTATTCACAGCTGAAGAGCCGCAAGAGAAATCGAAATCTCTTGAACGACTTGAGTCAAGTATACAGATGGATTTCTGGCACCTAGGTTGCTTTTTCACTTATCAGAAGATTGTTTCGAGTTTCCTAGTCCTCTCTCGCTAACAGTTTTACCGCTGGTGATAAATCATTATCATACTCAGTAAAGAAACCTTCCCCTCCACCTTCGCATCATATCAGCAACCCAGCCCCATCTCTCTCGTTTCAATCCATCTAATCACAAAGTAACAACGTACGGAGCATGTTTACTGCCCAGACACATGGAAAACTTGCTACGACCGACCAATTCACTGGCAAACGGCTGCAATGCACCATCCATCAGGCACACGCCAGAGCCTACCCTCTTGACCCAACGTACATCCTGGTTCATTAGTTCCAAGTTTTTCAGAACATCCATCAAAATGATCAACAGTCGCAGAATCCTTATAAATTACAGAAACGATAAGAACGTTGACAGAGTGACTACGGACTTTATCCCAGTGCCCAGGGGCAACAAAGATCTCTCAAGCAATCAACGACCAGAGGCGTAAATCAGCTTACTGCGCAAAATTCCTTTGCGCAGATGCTACAAAGTAGGAATGGTAGAAAGAGAGCCTTGCGATCATTTTTTCAAAGGGCCCAGTGTGAAAACATTGGCTGAAAACACACAAACACCCAACGGTGAGTTTATACTTTGCCTCAGCGTTTTCAGCGTACGCCAGCGCTTTCAGTGTCCTGAGCGACTGTGAAAGTATAGGTATCGTTCTAACGTTTTTGAGCGTACATCATCGTTTTTAGCATTTCGCGGGTAGGTCTGAGCCTTTCGCGTACGGCCGCTGAAACTGCCTCGAAACCCTGACGCCAGGCATGAACGCCGAAGAGGGGACAAAGACCAAAGGGATTACATTGGTGAAAGCGAGTTTTCTCCCAAATAAAATTTCTTTGCAGAACAACCTGATGCCTAGGTACCTGATGAGAATAAAAGAATAGAACCAATCACTTACCAATTGGCTTAGTTCTCACGTACTGCCACGCTCTTTTCGCCGAGCAATGTGTTTCGGGAGCAGTTGGATCTTGGCATACGGTTACTTGAATCTGCAAAGATTGGGACTATTCATACTAAAAAGAATTAACAACCAATGTTAGGCAGTTGTGGTAACTTACAAAATAGCGTGTGTAATGTTTGAGACCTTTGATCACAAAAGAGGTTGCCGTCACGTTCACAGTAATCGCATCTGTCTTGACGGCTTCCAATGACGTCTGAAACCCATATTCATGACATCAAGTTTTGAAGGCCTCGGAGAATAGTTCAGAAACATCCGGGTGTCGTTGGCATTCCTCTGCCCCATGGTCAGGAGGACTGGCCGATAAATAACATTTTATCTAAACTCGCAGCCCTATCACAGTCTTGTTCGCTACGGTTGATGGAGCACGTCAGAGGGTGCCTTTGGCGCAGCGGTAGCCCTTTTCTTTTCTTTTTGTTCTCGGCAAGTGACAAGACTGTACTATATCGTCGCTATCAGTCGCTTTCCGCCCACTGTTGTTGCTCAGCGGATTCAACAGTTGATGGTGAACAGTGTAGCGTCACGCGAATCTTAGCCCCGCAACACTCTCACCACACGCCGCAAGACTATTTTAACTGTCCTCATCTTCCTAAACTGACCCGTTATTTCCGCGTGAGGAAGGAGCCGAAAAACTTCTGCTTTGGGAGCTTTTCAAGGCATTGGCATTTCCCTTTTTTTAATTACCTGACCAATCCCAACTTCTGCTTGACCTACCCGCCCGGCTTAAAAGGCAGGATTCCATCTGGAACTCTTTAGCTTCCCCGCCTTTGCATTTCCCTTAACAAGAAAAAAAACAGAACATCTCACGGTTGCATTCTTCCTCACGTCGGCCGCAGTTTTTACGTCCGGCTTAGCACTGTATCCATCTTTTGAACGGGTAGAAGCCGCGATGGAGCGACGCCTTCGAGCCACTTCTCTCCTATAGCACAACAGTTATTCAGTAAAAATAGAAAGTCGTAGAAGACACCAACACTATCACCGAGAAATCGAAGAGAAGGTTCCTTAGATGTTCAAAAGAGTGAAAGAAACTGATAGGCTTATACACCACGAGCAGCAAACTAAGGCCATTTCATATTTGGAAAGGAAGAAACACTGGATTTGAAGATGGCTCATATGTAGCGACCGATTCAGTCATTCAGATGGCGTAACTGCGACTGATGGTGCTCCAACGCTAATTATTGGATCGATGCTGCTGCCACTTCAGGCACATTTAGAAAGAAACATTTTGGAGTACTTGCTTAGGACTATCAGGTAAAGTTTACCAGTTAAGATGCAAAGCTAGTGAAGCAGCAAGAATGCATGAAAAAAAATCGTGGCAGCTGCGAGCGAAGTAGCAATTGCAGCGGTCCCTTGTCCAAGTCGCTGAGCACCAAAGTATGAAACGCAGTCGAACGTCGCTGTTGATTGGAAACAAGTGCCCTTCCCGGGCCTAGGTCAGTCTTAACCACACAGACACTACGAAGCACCGTACAATTGACCACAATATAGTTTACACTACAGTAGAAGAAGACAGAAGAGGACAGGACGACGCAGCACAGCCAGAATTCTTTATGAAGCCTACAGGAAACGCTCGTTGTTGCCATAGCGTCGGAAATGATGTCGTACAGTTCTTGTCGAGCGAGATCGCCTATATGCGCTTGTTTCGATGTCATTCTCAAGTGGAGCAACTTCCTCGTCTAAATCTCCACCACCACCACACCGTATCGGATCGTGGCTATGCGCACAGCTAAATTGAGCCACACTTCTATTCTTGCCAGAGCTGGTTTTGAATGGTGAAAACATAAACTATCAGACAGCATCTACAATTATAAATAAGCGACATCACAGCAAGCGTAAGCTACTAATGGTAAGTACGGAAAAGTGTCAACTGCCAATGGAACAGTAAACTAGAACACATAAATGGCGTTTCGGCGACGGGAAAGGGTGGGGGCATTTTACATCTTTGCTACTTCGCCATTTTGCACCTTTGCTACTTCCCATCGACGTGTCCAGCATTTCAGAGGTATTTCATGAGCTTACAAGAGTTGACAGGTTTCTCATGATAGCTCGACGAGCTTACTCCAGGTTCACAAGAGTTACAGGTTCACTACGGTGAGACTTGTCCGGAATTAGCGGAGCACTGAAAGTGCAAACTGCCCCCCCCCTCCCGTCGCCGAACAGCGCCCACTTAAATAAGTCAAAACCTCGTATAAGTATGGGAGCTCGGAAAGGTTCTACGATGAAAAAAGTCTCAATCATTTAAAAGAAAACTCACTTCTGAACGAACACGACATTGTGAACAGCGTTCTCAAATGCAGTCTGGGATTCAACACCTTCATCTGTTTCGGTGGAAACAGCCTGAAATCGGAAACTTTCGAATACCATCACGTAGCTATCTACCGTTTTGCCTTGGGTATCAACGCCTGATGTCATGTCAAAATTAAGTCGAAGTAGTTATACCTCAAGCTAGAACCTACTTTCGGAGCACATTTGCAGCAACCTTCCTGCCGTGGGCAAGTGTCAGTGTGAGAATCACTACCGTCACCAAGCAGAACTGACACCGCTCGAGGCGCTGGTGTTGTTGTAGTATCACGAAGACCTTCAGAAAGACCCATTGATAGATCCAGACTGCGAGTTATATCTGAAATCGTCAACATTCAACCCGGAACTCATATGAAATCAGGCACACCCTTCCCCTAAGCATACCATCATGGCAGACTGCAGCTCCCATGTGTTGATTCATATATGCATCGTTCATCGCACGCCAGCTGACCACATAATGAGAAATATCGCCATTTGGTTGTGCCGGTGGATCCCATTCCAATCTGTAAATGCAACAATGACACGCGGATAATGGGTTGAGTCTATATTAAAACAAGAGTGTGTCTCGGGAAGTTTTGCACCAGCTGACCCAAATAGACCACCCACTTTCCCTGAAGTTGGCAAAATTGAATTGTTTTGAAACTGTAGGCGACAGATGATATGTGAGGTAAGAAGGTATGTGGAGATGTACTTTTGGGTTCGGCTCCAAAGGGTAGTACTCAGATGGCCTCATGGCCGACGGAGGGATGCTGCTAAACAACGAATTGCTCTCTCAAGAATGCTGAGTTATGGTCATATCTCGACCCGAGGCGGGACCCGAACCCGCAGCTCACGCTTTCCGGGCGAGTGCGCTATCCGCTACGCGACCTGAACCGCTCTTACGCTCTTAGCTTGACGGCTTTTATGCCGTACAAAATTACTGGCACGCGTACTTTTTTTTAGTGGAGGTATCGCCGCAGTCGCTAAACTATTTCTGATAGTTGAAAGAGTTTTCCCACGTCTTTTTCGCTCGGTTGACAGCAAGTTTTCGAATATTTCGAAGATGTTGAGTGGAGGATAAAAAAAGGGGAATGACTCACGAGGATCGTTCTGAGAGGAGCTGCTATACGTGTCCAAAATCTCCACGCATGGTGGGTGCCCAGTGATGGAAGCTTGTTTAATCAGTCTCCAGGCGACCACCCTGTCAGATATGTCGCATCATGCTGCGGGGCGTGATGAAATCATGTGCTCTTTCCAGCCATCACTCTTTGCGAGTCTTCGCTGCTGACGCTTCGCAAATACCACCGCCATTCAAAAGAATTCCTCGTTCGATGGCAGCAGAACAAGTGTCGCTGTTTGCAGCGCCGCATTTTGCCGAACGCATGTCTCTCACGTCTCTCGCCGTTCTATGTAATCACATATCTAATCAGAGATTAGAGACGCGAAAACAAACAACGTCGTCGTGAACACCCATCCACTGCAGTAAACGATGACATTGACGAGTTTCTGCACTAATCTTTGGCCAAACCCAGCACTTTTCAACGACTAGCAGAGGGTGTTCATGACTGTAGCAGGTGCTGCGTGCCGTACTAAACTGCACTTCGGAGATGAAAGACATTTTCACAATGCTGACAGACATCTTCAAAGGAATGCTGAGTAGTGGGCAGAAGAAAGACCCCAAACGGGACTTCAACCCGCATCTCGTGCGCAATAATTATACCACCAGGGACGCTCTTACCCTCTCAGCTCAATGGCTTTCGTGCGCAGACATTCTTAGCCTCAAGGGTGTATAACCTATGGCCCGAACACATTATCACTGACTTGTCATGACACGTCATGGACGCTTCATTTCTGCGGGACAACTCGTCCGAATCACTAAACGTCTGAAATCCTCTAGTTTATCAACAGGAGGCGATTTCGTTGAGATCAGCGTACGTCGTGCCGTTGGGGGAAACTCTACAGTTCAGATCAGCGCACTTCGTGCCGTTGGGGAGAAGTTTTGCAAAACATGACCCCGCCCCTCTCCCCCTCAAAATTGCCATTTTTGGCACGACCTTCCCCACTTCTCCATCCCACCGAACTTCCATCTTCCGTTCCCAACTTCCCACCACTCCCCCGCAGTTTTATAGAAAATCTCCATTTTTTTCCAAAAAGCTCCGCTAAGCGAGGGGAGACAGGGGAGAGAAGGGATACATGCACGAAACAGGAAAAACCGAGAATAGTTAATGATTGAAAACATTTTCCGAAAGCAAACACGACCCCCTCTCTATAGCGACCAAACACGACCCCGTTCGTGGGGATTCTCAACGAGTAGCGTGCTTTGTGAGATGTGGGGTACCAAAACAAACGGTAATAGCTTTAAAAGGCCGCCAGTTCCGAAAATCAACCGGTTTATTGGTCCGGACAAGCTACGCGACTTAAAAGACGTCCTACAACCTCTCATGACACGTGAGTAGCAACACGATCGCACATACAACGGCTAGACCTAGAGAAGGACTGATAAATCCTTTATAAGTTCCTTATTCATGTAAGTAGTAGGCCTTGGCATCACTTTGACGGTCACGGCGAGCGGAAAAACTCTGTGGCTGGATGACCTACACAGGAGACTTGCTGCACTCCCCTCCACCCTCCCAGCACAACTTGACTACCTCACTGCGAGTGAGCTGCCTAGACATTTGCATCTTTCAACTATCTTTTCTTTTCACGATCGTCCCAACCTCATACAGTCATGTGCCCTCCCAAGAATTTCCTGTGGTCACAAATAAACAGCCATGAAGGATTACAGCAATTTGACGTTCAATCTTCTTAATCCCGAGAGGCAAAGATGAATCGCCTCAAAACAAGAACCAACAGTAAAGTTCATAGCCACGCCCGCTCTTTTTTTAAAACACTAAAATAATTGACATATGTGCTAGAAAGAATGAATGAATGCACTCACAGAATCTCATCAATCCCAAG